TACATTAACTATAATATTTTATCTAAAAGAACACGAAACTTCAATGATAATTACAGTGTACAAACACAATCAATGAAAAAAAGAACCTTATTATCATAAAATTACATAGCACATGGAAGTGCATCAGCACAAATGTTATCAACCCCCTTTGACATGGATTATCATCAAACCATATTCTCAAAGTGATGAACTGCAAGTTAATAGCCTTATATTTTGTTTTCTTTCTCTTTTTCTTTCTTTCTTTCTCTTTTTCTCTCTCTCTCTCTTTCTGTCTGTCTTTTTCTTTCTCTTTTCTTTCTCTCTCTTTCTGTCTTTGTCTTTCTTCTTTTCTGTCTGTCTTTTTCTTTCTCTTTCTTTCTTTTTCTTTCTCTCTTTTTCTGTCTTTCTTTTCTCTTTAATTAGATATCCCATAGTGGGTAACAATAATAAGACCATGTCCTCAGGATGGAACTTGTGTTCTTCAAAAGCTGGGATAGGTTTCAAAGGAGCAACAGGAATTTTCTGGTTAGATTTTCCAACTACCTGACAGGTATGACAAGTTTTGCAAAACTGAGAAACATCTTGGACAATTTTTGGGCAAAAGAAATTTTTCATAATTTTGTCACATGTCTTGTTGACACCTAAATGACCTCCCATGGGGAGTTCATGGGCAACTTTCAATAGTTTAGAATGATATGCTTTTGGGAGTGCATATTTAAATAGTGAAGAAATTTGTAAATCTTTTTCTTGTTCAGTGATCAGTTTACTTTTAGTAAATGGAATCTCACCAAGTGAATCAGACCCCTCATGTCCATTGTTGTTCCTCACTGAGGAATCATCAGTAGGACAATTATCCACAAGATCCTTGTCGGATCCAAAAAATGTCTGAGACAAATCTATAATATCATCCTCTGAATCCATGTTTATCATTTATTTTTGGCTTAATTTCTTAGTCTGAGCTCAAGTCACAGCACACGAGGGAAACACAACTGGATGAAACAGTGATCGTCTCATTAACCATTTTAGGTTCAACAACAACTTTTCCCTCCAGCCAAATCATTTCCCAACAACATGATACACCCTTAATTGGCAGAGTAGGTCTTACTCCAACTACAACTGGCCCCGAAACTAGGTCTGATGCTAAATAAATGTTATAAAGAGGAACATTAACAAAGCTACCCTCAATACCCTGAGCAATAACAGACTCACCAGTGGCAGAACTCGAATCTAAAGGCAATATACTTTCTAACAACAATAATTGAGTCGCCCCAGTATCACGTAGAATACATATGGGTATGGGATTGCTAGTGTCATTTATCAAAGACACAGAACCAACAGACACAAAAGGTCTAAATTCCTTCCTGATTACATCAAACTTTATAACACTGGCCATATCAACAACATTGGGTGATCTGGTGAAACTAAGTCCATATGTGGACACAAACACACTGGGTATTGCCTCCTTTTCTTTCTTCTTTTTCAAACCCCAACAATTGGACATAACATGACCAGATTTTCTACAAAAATGGCAGACAGGTCTTGATTGTTTTAAAGAAGTTTTATCCTGACTGTCAAAAGATTTCGAACTAGAGGAGCTGGATTTTTTAGAAGATTCCTCAGCTTTAGTGGATTGAACAGATAGAGGTTTTGTTGAGATGGTAGGAATTTCTTCTTCTGCAAAGTGGTCTTATGTGTTAAAGTGTAGTCGTTGGAAAAAGCGGCTAATTCCTGTAGTTTTTCAACTTTCTTTTCATCCAAGTAAGTTTTGAGGTTGTCATGTGCACAACATTTAAATTCCTCAATTAGACATAATTGTCTTAGTTTGTTGAAACTGTTGCCAATATGCTTAGAATTGCACCATCGATCAAAATAATCGTCTTTTTCGTGGGCAAATTCCATATAAGTTTGATTATCTTGTTTATGATAACCTAGAAATTTTTGGCAATAAGCCTCTGGTACTAACTCGTATACTTTGAGAATAGCTGCTTTAACCTTATCATAATTTGTACAATCTTATAAAGAGAGAGTGGCATAAGCTTCTTGTGCTTTACCAGTTAAGACACTTTGTAATAATGACCATTTTTCGGTGGGACATTCCATGGTTTGGGCAACCATCTCAAATTGTTGGAAGTATTTATCAACTTCACTTTCATTATGGTGGTACTTTAACATATCAATTAAGTTCAAAGTTGTCATTTTGCCTTGGTCGATCGGTGTTGAGTCTAATTTCCATTTCTTTCAGCCTAATTTCTTTTTCGGCCTCGAGACATTTGTTTTCTCTTTCAGCTTCAATACAAGCTTATTCTTTCTCGGCTGCAGTTCAAGCTTGTCCTTTCTCGGCTTCAATACGAGCTTGTTCGAACTCGAGTTATTTGTGTTTTAGCTGGATCTCTAATTTATCCTTATCACTCAACCCCAATTGGCTAGTAGGGACACTAGAGTATTCCTCTAATGCTTCCTCAGGCAACAAATCATCATTGATTAGTATTTCGATAATATGCTTTTTTAATTCATTTTTTCTCATTGATCTTTTAATTCTAGTTCTAAAACTTTGGCAATTTCAAGCAATTCATTTTTGTTATATTTTTCTAGTTGTTCAAGGGAGGGTGATACAAGAAAATCTTGATAATCAGACATGTTCAAATCTTGTTGGCACTGATAAATATAAATTCAATTGTGATTTAAAGTTTAATTTTTATCGAATTTTGTCTCTGATTCAGATCCTGAACAAGCCCCAAATTTATTGTCTTATGTATTAGAATTTCAAATAGTCCGAAACTGTATTTAAACATTTATGTATATAGATATTTTGTTGATTCCTACTCTCGAGAATTTTCTACAACTTTGGAGAATAGGCAGGAGTTTTGAAATACATATCTAACACTACAAGCTATGCAATGTTTTAAATATAAACTTAATCTAAACAACGTTCATATTAAAATAAATACATAACAAATTTGTTACAAGAGTGTCACTTGCCCCTCTCTGGGCTACTGTTCCCATCTCTTCATTTTTCCCTTAAATCCTGGGGACTGACATCCCCTCATTGTACTTTTTCTCTGAACCACTTTTGATGATTCCCTAGTTTCAGATGAAGGAGTTTCTTCTTTTTGATAGATTGTTATGCCTTTTGTCATATTCCAGTAGCCCTGTCATCACATTTGTCTGTCACTGTGTGGTATACCAGTTTCAGGATCTACCATTTGGCATGGCCTTTGTTCCTTATGTCTTCAGCCAGGTCACGGGGGTTTTTGTTTACCTTAACCACAGTCTCGGTCTTCATTTCCATTCCTTTTTGGATGTTTGGTCACTTTTCACTTCCATTTGGTAGACCTCTTCTACAACTATATTCCTTCTCCTCCAAGAGGCTGTTCATCTGGGATGACTGGTCTTATTTTGGTGGCTGTTGACTTTGACTCTATATTCAATCCTTCTTGAAGTTCTTTACTCTTTACACATCATTCAGGCTCTTCCTTCTTCATTTTGTCTATGAGTAATGGAGTGTCTGATCACCTCAGCTCTTTTGGTCTCCAATCCCACAACTGGCTACTCTGGCTGTGGATGCCCTCAGCCTTTATTGATATCTTCTTTTCTGTATGTGTTCCCTGCTATCTGCCCTCTCCCACATGTCTTAGTGATGATCTTTGACACTTCTTGTCAAGTCCTGTTGGCAGCACCTTATTGACCAGCTCTTTTTGGTTTTCTCTTCTTCACTGACTAGCATTTTAGGCACCCTTTTTTTCTTCCATCATCAAGGAACCTCTTGCTCCAAGTTTCAACATTACACTTTCATCAAAGAGTGTCATCCTTTCCTCTTTGTGCATGGGATTGTCTGTTCCTTCTTCAATTGGCAATTTTTCATTTTGCATTGTCCTTCTTTTGTACTGCTCATTTCATCCTTTAATTGTCTCTGTTCCCTGATGCAAGTGGCATTTTTACCAACACTGGTTCATCAGACACAATCTGTCTCCAGGCTGTCTAACCAGAAGTTGTCAATCTATACCATGGTGGGATGTTGGTTGGCCTTGTCAGCCACTTTCGCCTTTGTTTCTTTCCATGTCCTTATACCTTGTTCTGGTCCTTCCCTTCTTTCTTCCTTTTCCTCATCTGGCTCATTTTCCTGATTAGGACCTTGTGGCTCTTTACAATCTCACCCAGACCCAATTTGAACCCTTGACTACTTGTTCCTATTTTCTCCTTTCCCGGAAAGCCTCTTTCCTTTGCTTTCTGGCTTGATCATCACTATTCCAATATTTATGCCTCTTGTATTCTGTTCCAAAAATCTTACTCCCATTTGTGCCCTTAGTCATTCTTTCCTTCCCTACACATGATCAGTTTTGGAGGGTAACAGGTCCTTTTCTCCCATTTTTCTTCCATCGTTTTCATCTTTGTTTCATATTTTGTGCCCCTTTCGAGTGATCTTGTATTGCTCAACATACATGGCTCCCTTTTAGAATGCTAGCAATTACCTATTCTTGCTCTGTGACCTTTAGTCTACAACTCTTGCCAATTGTGTTCAGCACTTCATCCAGGTCATTTGCTCTTTCCTAGAGGATGATACTTTTAGACATTAGTATGCCATCTTATTATGTTTATCTCGTTACTCACTCTGGCCTCACTCCTTTGGTAACCATAGGATGAGATATTACAATTAGGAAGGTGGACAACATCCAACACCTTCTTCATCATCTGGCAGTTTCATCTCATCTAGACTTTTCCCTCCTGTCGCCATTCGTCATTCTACTCACCAATTTTATCAAGGTAAGTACCTTATTTATTTTTTCACTCACTTTTAATAATAGTCTCATTTCAACTTTGGAGCCCACTCAGTAACTGGTGTTGCCTCACAGGGTATGCTCACCTACTTCCCCAAATCTGCATTGAGTCAGGGGTAATGGAAGGTGCTAAGCCCATTTGCCTTGGTTCCTGTGTGTGCTCACTGTGGAGATAGGGTTTTCTTAACATCACAGTAGTAGTATACATATATATATGTATATATCTTTATGTCCATTCCAGAATGTACCTTTCATGGACTATCATGGAAAAAGCCAGCACCCATGGAATGTGCTTGCTAGCTTTTCAAAATAGGTTTTGTGGTAACCCACTTTATTTTCTCCAATAAAAGACCTTTGTGGTGGTTAGGTTCGATCATGTCCAAGCACCCCTTTGGAGTCTCCACAATGCAAGTCCCCCCCATACACACACACTGTCTTTGAGTGGAGACACCTGCCATTCCTAGTTCCTAGCTGCTTTGGTGTTGATTTGGAGAGTTCCTCTCCAAAGAAAGGCCAAGTCAAGGGAGCACAGTGCAGTGGGAAGTTGGGCAGAGGTACCTATGTCAGCATAGTGCAAATCACCACCTATTATATTATATACCAATTTCTTGATGGTTTTGACCAGCTAGATGGGACAAAGTGTTTTCCTCAGGAAGTAGGAAGGAACCTTTGTCCTTGTTCCTGTATGTATGATTAGTAAATTGTACAACAGAACACATACTAAACTGTACAGTCTGATTACTGTCCTAGCCACTCGATACCTCATGTCAATCCAGCTTGTTAGTATGCAGAAATTTAGTTGCTCATGTATTTTTTCTGCACATTCCTGTGTCACATTGGCTCATTTTTACCTTCCACCCTGATAAAGAGTATACCCTACCTGAGAAGGATGCAGTGTTCTATGAGTGTTGCCCCTCTAGTAAGCTCCCACTATTGGGTGGAGCTTTCCCATTCTAACACTTTCCCTGAGGGGAACTCATTCTAGCTACTGTTTACAGAGAGGTAATTGGATCGTTTCGAAACTTAACATTTCTCTTACCTGAAAATGTTTTTTCTATAGATACTTACCTCTCTTCACACCTTTCCTCCCTTTCTCTCCAATATCAGTGTGCCTTATTATTTTCTCCTCTTCAAATGAATTTAATTTCAAGTACAAGTGCTTGTGGAGACCTACTGTGCATGAAGAATATGTGTCTCTCTCCTGTTGGTGGAGGGCAATTGCCATATGATGATTACATCATGCGTTAGTGCAGTTCATATTAAAACATGATTTAGGTGGGAGATAGTTCATGGCTAATTGCATGCACAAAATCTCAATGGCAGTTGTAGGAGAAATAAGTATCTATCAGAAATACATTTTCAGGTAAGGAAAATGTTAACTTTTCATTCTCCTTAAAGAGATTGTACTTATTTACTAAACAATACAAGTTCAATATCAAACTTTTATTCTGTAACAGTTGCTTGAAAAAAGAACAAAAGCATCAAAGCAAGAAATGGAAGTGATTGAGGCTCTGGAAGAACTAAAGGACTTAAATAAAAGACAAGCTAATGTAAATTTTGAAAAGCTACTTATGCAGAATGCCTTACAAGAAGAAGAGATTTTGCAAAAACAAGAGGATGAAGATGAAGAGTTCATTAGGTAAAGTGCATATAATACAAGTGGAATTAAAATGAGACTAACTTGATGAGCTAAGAGAACTATTAGTCTTAACATTCCATATCTTTATGTAGATTTGGTAAACAATAAAGTTGAGTTGCTGTTTTAAGTTGATATGCATTTAGCTTTAGTTGACATCTGACTTTTGAAAATTTGTATAAGCATTCTTCTCCAAGGAAACTAAAGGATTTCTTTTTCACACTTTCATATCATATGAACAGAAATTTCATCATGTATTTCTATTAATTTTCAATGATGATTATGATGTTTTTGGCTTATTTATACTATTATGAGAGAGTTGTCTTTTGGAGATCACAGATTTCATTCCATTGTACTTTCACAAGGTTTTGTGCTTGACCAGCATTCTAAACAGTCTTTTTCTGTATGTTGAAAGTCAGTATAAATGTTAGAACTTGTAACCATGTAATTGTTACATATGTTTTGTTATAAAAGGAAACTAAAAACCTCAGAAATGGACATTTGTCTGTTCCTCTGCTTTATTGGCATAACTAACTGTATTTTAGTTGACCTTGTCTCTACGTTTTGTGAAGTTACTCATTATTGTAATGAATCTTAAAGCTTTTTTTGTTTATGTAATTAGTGTTGGTGATAGTTCTCTCAAAAAGCTATGCAATTTCTATGATCATAATATCCAGGAAAATTTAGTTTTCCAAGATTCACAGAGTATTTTTTCCAACAAGATTAAGTTTGATGAATTAAATTTGTAGTTCACATTCTCTCTCTGCCAACATTGTTTTTGCTGATTGGCTGTAATGATATTTCAGACTTTTTATTTAGGAGAATAATTATGTAAAACACTTAAAATTTGCTATTACTGTAGCCTTTCCTAAGGAGTGCTAGTGCCACCATCAAATACACCTGATATACAAAATATTATAAATAAATCCAGCAGTATCACAATACACATTAGGTTTTAAGAGAGAAACATTACATTAACACTTTCATTGTTAACAATGTGTTAACACATCAATCAGCAAAGGAGCTACAACTCTGTGTGAGTGTACAGATAAACAGTCCCTTAGTGCTATACAGTGATTGTGTGTGTTGCCCTCTTGTGAATGACAGAAAAAATGTTTACACTAAAGTTTCAAGTCATGTGATCTGAGATTTCTGGATGGTATGTTTTGGTTACCATTATAGCTACAAGAAGGCAGAACTGTACAAAGGTTTTAGTCTAAGTGAAACTGCAAGTATTCTACAAGAATCTGATTCAGAATCATTTGAGAAGGATGATACAGAAAAGGATAATAATTATGAACCTAATGATTCTGAGTCTGATGACGAAAGAGGCCTGGAATATACAGACCAGGTAAATGTTCCAGCTGATTCATCCATAGCTGACAGTGACACTGCAAAACCAGTATCAGTTGATGGATGGCAGACTGTCTAAGTTACATGTTCTTGTCCAGCTGATACTTTTTATACTGCATAGCCTCAAGTGGTTGCAGGTTTATTGCCAGAGGCTGTTCCAGTTGACATTTTTAAACTGTTTCTGATGGAGGATGTTGTGAATATGATGGTTGCTAAAATGAATAGTTTTGTTGAACAGTGCTTGAAACTGACTGCCTCTTACACAAGTAAACAATGCAAGTCATTGTACATTATTGGCTTGGTGCATTGGTTAAAATTTCTGCAGTGGCAAATCTGTTAAACAATGCATTTTCAGTATAGTTGAAACAATTTTTCATCTCTTGCATAACCAATTATAGGAAAAAATCATTAACTGAGATATTATTTTAATTTGTTTTTAAAGTCTAAGAACAGATGGAAAATATAATTTATTAATTGCATATGCCATATAAGTAAATATAATTACTGCATGCAGAAAATTTTTTTTTCATCATTTCATCGGTGTCATTTAGGGTTCTATATTGATATTCTCTTATCTAGAACTAGATTACAGTAAAAATGTATGAAGAGATTTTGTTGTATTATGCTTTTTTATTTTATGTAATCATCATTAATCTTTCTATAACTTCTTGCAACTGCTTGATAAAACTAGAAAAATTATATAACTATAAGTAGATAAAAGTCTTTGTACTTAAGAATTGACTTTAGTCCCTTCACTAGCCTAATTATGTAAAACAGTTATATGCTTAGTATTCAGTTTCATCAACTGCTAGTCATTAAATTACAGAAGTTTTGACTTTTCAAATGTTATTTTTGTGTAGATCTGTCTTTGGTAAGGAAGGTAACAAAACCATAAAAAGGCTCCCAGATCCAGATAGTGGCGAGGAGGAGGAAGAAGCAAAGATGAAAGAGACATTATCCAGTGAAAAGCCAACAGATATATTCATGCAGGTAATACTGTTTTATACCCCATACCTAATTGTTACTTTCATGTTTCATCTCATTGTCGAACTATTCACAGTCTATTCACAACAATTATAGATACTGATAGAAAGCTGGTTTTAGTGCACTGCTAATTGCTAAGTGTTATTTATTAAGCATTTCCTGTTGCATTTAAGATTGATCTGCAGTGTTTAATAATGACAATAATAAAATAAAAAATGTATGTAGATTTTAGCTTACTAGAAAACAAAATTATATATGAAATTTCAGAATGTTTTTCCATACTTGTAACAATGAAGAGAAAACATGCATATGCAGCTGCCATTTTTGTTGATAGCTGTATATTAAAGTGTACACATAAATGCAGTTCTCTAAATATAGAACTGCAAAACATAGATCATCTTGAATCTCTTTCATACCACACATGTTCACAACAAATCCTTGTTCGTCATAGACACTCATTAAAAAAAAAACAACTATAACTGGGTTCTCTGTCAGCTCCAATGTTTATTGATGGATCATTAATATGATAATGTTTTCTGAAAACTTCTAAATGTAAACAAATACTGGAGCAATTTTAAGTTAATTTTTTCATTCTGGTTTCAAAATGTACTTAATTCAAAAATCAGTTTGGGACATCCAACAATTTTACTTGGGAATAAAAATAAATAATCTATTTAACCCTTTAGATGCATAATTTTTTTCATTGATATCAACTCACAATGATTTTCACATAATTCAGGTTCAGACCCAGAATCATCATCAGTTTGCACAAGTTCAGTTGTCTCTTCAAGTGTGAAAACACTAGAATGATTTGGATCCATTTTCACATAAAAACTAAATTCTTAACTGGAAATATTACCGATATTTGCATTTCTAGCAGGAAACTCAAATCACATTATGTGGTTGCCATATGGTGACGGGTGCACTTATATGGTTAAATGTTAATAATTTCTAGTGGTTTAACCCAAGATTAATATGGAATTTGACAATTCTTGAACATTATAAATTGATGCTTGAAACATTTAGTTTCTGACACTATACAAAATTTAAATACTGTATGGTGGTTTTCTTCAGTTGAAAATTTCAAGCCAATTACACCTACAATGTATTTTCAAGCCAGTAATAAATAAATAGCAACACTGCCAGTCTTATTATGTAACAGTGATAAAATAAGTTGCAATTACAGATAATAAATACATATTCTAGGCAAATATTACTTTTTATTTACTCTAATATTTATATGAAATTTTAATATTTTGTTCTTATTCTGATCTCAAAATTAAATTAAAGATGCTGCATAAATTAAAAGGATCCCTAGGGCACAGGCTATAATATGGGATATAAAATATGTCTTGGGTTTTGTAGGTGACTGCAGAAGTAGTATCCTCATTGTGGTGGGGATACACAATCTACCAGTCTTAACCTCCGTTTGCCAGTTTCACATGAAGAAATTGTCAAAAGAAATACAAGTTAGGAGAACGAGATTTGGGTGCTCAAGCCCACAATGTACCACATCTGTATCACCCTTTATATATATATTAAAAAAAAAAGAATAGAAAAACTTGGTGGTAAGTAAGATAAACTTACCCCCTAAGGTTGGTATTTCAGCTCCCATTATAGTAGTAAAGTACTAATTTAACAGTACAGTGGATAAATTATACTAGTATAGAGTTATAAAAGCCCAACCAACTTATCTAAACTAACTAGTATAACTCCCAACCACCACCCGTTAAGCCTGCTGCAACTACCAATTTTCAGACTTTACACAAGTCTTTATACATCCATATAAAAGTAGTGCCAAGTTGTTTAAACGACCTTATTAAAAACTAAAAATACTTATCAGAAACATCCAGCACAAACTCCTTAATTTTTGCTTATTTATATTTATTTGATACACTTTTATATTTATCACAAAATATTTTAATAATTTTATTTGGAGTTTCTTTATTACATCCATTGAATATTAATTTTTGCCTCAATATTTCAACATTAATAAAGAAATATTGTAATTTATTACAAATTTTACAAAATGTGATTAATTGTGAAGTTATAATACTTATAATAGAAGAGTATGACACATTACAATTAAAAGAGTGTAAGCCATATACTGGAAAAGAAAAATATTTTCTTGTATCAAAAATGTTTAAATTGATATCATTATCAATTATTTTAATTTATAATTCTACCAGATAAATAGTGTCATCTATATTGTCTAAGTTAAAGCAAAAATTTCTGGGTTTATGCAAGTTTCAGTAAACCTATTCTCATAAAAATAAAGATATAAATTTGCAATACAAGTAGAATAGTTAGCTCCCGTTGGAACTCCTATTACTTCATTAAATACCTGGTTATTGAAAAAAAAACAATTATTATAAATGCAGAAACGTAATATATCTTTTATATTCTTGGAGCTAACTTTTCTTTCTTCCAGTTTT